CATTTGAGAAGTATTTTTATAAGACATTGTAATCTTTTATCTTATACTTCCAAAATCATTTTGAAAAGTATTTTATTATTATTTTGGAAGTTTGTCTTTTCTTATCATTTTGAGAAGTGTTACTATGGGCTCATAGCCGATCGATCGATAAAGATGACATATGATCTTAAAGAACTGAACGGTCAGCATGTGGACAAAAGCTTCTCAGTCGTTCGGTCCCAACAACTGTTGAGCAGAGTTAATGCACAAATAAATGTGGTAACGATTATCGTTAAACAGTTAAGGTTTGCATTAATGACCATTAAGAGATAAATTAATTGGTCAGATTCCTTTAAACTCTATAAATAAGGGTTTAGGTTCAAGGTAAACACACATTAAACTCACACTCCACTACGCCCTACTTACGTCCAATCAGGACTTAAATATTTAACTGTAACAAACAGTTCATAAAATTGCTCCTAACTTGAGCGTCAGAGTGCCTTTTGTAGGTACCTTCCCCCTTTTGCCACGAGGGTGACCGAACGGTCAAGACTGAAGTTCACCGAGCGGCCAATACTGAAAAGGACTGATCGGTCTAAACTGGAAGCATACGAGCAGAGCACACAAGTCAAAGGTTAGTGTCTCGGTCTCACAAAATCCCTACCGAAACATTTTGGCGCCCATTGTGGGGCCGAGAGCAAGCAGAAGAAGTCCAAATGGTGACCACAAGAAATATGGAAGAGTAGAGCACCAGAGATCTAATCAAAGAGTTACAAGCCCAGATCAAAGCACAGGCGCAGACCATACAAGCGTAGGCGCAAGCACAACAAGAGATGCAGCGGAGGCATGCAGAGGAGATTGCGGCGCTAAGGGCCGAACGGGTCCCCCCTGAGCGGTCCGCCTTAAATCGAGAGAATGACAACAAAGCAAGTCATAATCACACCAACCCGAACGGTCGAGGTAGAAGGGAACCAACACCCCTGCATACCGTTCGGCCTACCAATTTACTCCCTTTTACGGCGACCATCATGCAAACTCCAATGCCAGAAAAAGCTCCTCCCGCATTGGATAAGTATGATGGTTCAACTGATCCGGACAAACACCTAAGGACGTTCGGTAATGCAATGACATTCTATACAAATAGCGACCCAATCATGTACAAAGCCTTCTCATTATCACTCAAGGAAGAGGCATTGGAATGGTATAACACTCTTCCTCCCAACACAGTGGATTGCTTCGCAACTATAGAGACCCTCTTTAGGAGACAATTCGCAACCAATCGGAGACAGGAGATAACAACGAAGGAATTGGTTAAAACCAAGGAAGAAAAGGACGAAACTTTGAAAGCCTTTATGAAAAAGTATAATGAAGTCGCACGGCGAGTTAAAAATGTTAATCACACTTTTATCATCAACAACCTGCCTTCATGCCTAAGGCTAAGATATTTTGCTGAAAAATTATATGCACGACCACCAAAAACAATGGATGAACTTCTGGAAAGGATAGCTGAGTTTATTCATATGGGGGACATGCGAATGTCACAAAGAAAGCAACAACAGGAAGCTGATGTAGGCGGAAAGAGAAGGAACGATAGACAAACATTCGACGACAAAGACAGGGGAGGAGGGTCTCGACCAAAGGATTTACCCCGAATGCCTAAGTTTGATCATTACACAGCTATTAAAACACCCAGGGCAAAAATCCTCGAGGAAACTCTTAATGCTAAACTTCTTTCGGTCATGAAGCTTCATTCACCTAAAAATGTAGATGGAGGAAGGCACTGCCAATACCATCAAAACCTGAGACATACCACCGAAGAGTGTGTAACACTCAAAGATAAAATCGAATCACTCATTCGTGCAGGCCATCTCCGTAAGTGCGTGAAGAAGGATCGACGACGGATAAGAAGCTCATCAAGGTATCCACAAAGAAGTACCAAACGACCGTGTAGAAAGGAGGAGTGGAAATATAGGCGAAGTCGTAGCTGCAGTCATAGCTCTGACCGCACAATTCGGGGGCGTATTGACTAGAAGATATAATGAAAAGTCCTTCCTAACAATGGGAATGCGACTCATCTCAAGTTTACGTTAGTTGAATTTTGATGTTATGCTTTATTTCGATTAGATTCTTTTGACAAGACTTATGTGTTTAAAATTTTGGTATGAACAAAGCCGGACAATTCCCTTCAAATCACATATGATCAGCTGTTCGGCTTCAAAGTTATTGGCCATTCGGCCTCGATTGCTCGGCCTTCCATGGCCTCACAGTTCAGATGATAGGATCATGCACACGAATCACTAGGAAAATCGTGAACTTACGTTCTCCAAAAGCCCCTGGTCCTAAACCGAGCGGTGAGGAACGTTCTTCGTGAACTCTCACTCTTGTCCTAAACCGAGTGGTGAGGAACGTTCTTCGTGAACTCTCACTCTCGTCCAAAACCGAGTGGTGAGGAACGTTCTTTGTAAACTCTCACTCTCGTCCAAAACCGAGCGGTGAGGAACGTTCTCCATGAACTCTCACTCTCGTCCTAAACTGAGCAGTGTTGGACGTCCCCGAGAACTAACACTCTCGTCCACTAGGAAGTTTCAAAACGAACTCCTAGGTCGAAAGACCGAGCAGTGAGGAACGTTCATTAAACTCTCACTCTCGTCCTAAACCGAGTAGTGTTGGACGTCCCCGAGGACTGACACTCTCGTCCACTAGGAAGTTCCGAAATGAACTCCTAGGTCGAAAAACCGAGCGGCAAAGTCTCGTCCACAAAACCTACGGAACGCTCTCTAAGAGCCCTTGGTCCTAAATCGAGCGGTGAGGAACGTTCTGCATAAACTCTCACTCTCATCCCGAACCGAGCGGTGAGGTTCTCCATGGACTCTCGCTCGTCCACAAAACCCAGGCAACGCTCTCCAAGAGCCCCTGGTCCTAAACCGAGCGGTGAGGAACGTTCTCCATGAACTCTCACTTTCGCCTTGAACCGAGCGGTGAGTTTCTCCATGAACTCACTCTCGTGCTAACCTTAAACAGTCACCGATGTTCAACATTCGGTCTAACATATTCTCAACCGTTCGGCATCCCACCATAATGACGGAGGCTAACGGATTCCATTTTGACATCCTTATTTTTATTTTGAAGAAAATTTATTTAAAAATCAATTGGAATTTTTTACTGTGAATTTAAATTTTGTAAATAATTTTCTTTTTAATTCTAAATCAACTAGTAATTTCTTGCAAAATAATTTCATAATTTCTTTTTTATTAGATTAAATTTGTAAGTATTTTTTATTAATATTTTTGTAAAAAGAATCCACGGAAGTTTTGTTACAAAAACTTTTAGAAAAATATAGTTTTTATTTTCACCTTATTTATAGATGAAAAACAATTTATAAATGATTTATTTAATTTATTAATGTTAATATTTAAGAAAATAAATCATAAAAATAGTACTTAAATTTTTAAATAAAAAAAGAATGTTTAATTAAGGTATTTTATTTACCGAATCTTTTAATGTTTGAAAATCCCAAGTCTTCTGGTACACTTCCATCTAAGGTGGAGAGGAGATACGAGCAAAACACACTTATTTATTTGAACAGTTGTGCGGTCCAGTAAAAATATTTCTAGTCTTCAATAACCCACAAACATGGCTGCTAAATCAGGTGAAAAAAAAAACTGGAATAATGTAGCTTTTATATATATAGAAGTCTCTCCAACCCTTGTTACAAGGATGTTCCTCCCAACCTAGACTTAGTGTAACCTAGATTAACGAGTTTTTGAATCAAAATTTTCACCTATTTAGCCTGCAATCCATGAAAATTGCAATAAATCAAATCAAAATAATTTAAAATTGAAGTAATCAAAAGAGTTAATAGCAATGAAAGAAAAGGTTAACCATCACTACTATAGGATCATTAAATTTAAAAAATAAGTGCACTTGTAACTAAGTGAACTGAGGAATGTATCAGCAAGTTCAAATTTCTACATATTAGTGAGTTGTTTGAGAAATATGCAAGAATTATAAAATAATTATTTATATCCAAATAGAAAGTTGGAAAAATGATATACGTTCGTAAATATGTTTGAGAGAGAGTGAAACAATTAAATATGTTTGAGAGCAATGTGCAACAACAATTTCACATATCCTAGTGGCAGATCTTGAAATCAAATGTAAATCTGAATTAATATTATGTTTTCGATATAAAGGCTTATATTTTATTCAATTGAATACTTACTTAAAAAAAATAAAAAAACTTAATGTGACTTTTTTTAAAAATTGGTATTGATGTTATCTGAAAAGGGGTCGTCTTAAATTTAAATTTAGCATGTGAAAGTGAGTTTTCAAATCTGAATAACATGCAAAACGTGGAATCAATGCATTATGAAATTATCCTACATGCTAATGTAAAAGGACAATCTTACATAGAATTTTAATTACAAAGACACTAAGTTTAACAAATAACTAACTACTCACAAACCCAAACAAGTTATAAAGACAAGTAGTAAAAGAACATGTTCAAAATTTAAAACTAGTGGTAGTAATACGCAGAAATCAAGTACCATAGCAAAAACCCAAGACTAATCCTCTGATTTATTTGGTCAATTGAAATAGACCTACCTCAAAAAATATTTTGGAAATAAGTAGACTCAGTCTAGGTCTCGTGGGTTTCTAATTAAAGATCGAAAGAGACTGTAGGTTCTAATTTAATCTTCCAATTCAATCAAGAAATTCATTCTAAATTAAAAGAACATACACAAAATAACAATTGCAAAAGGGTTAATTTTTTACCTATTAATTACATATACCTTATTGTTTTCTCAGTTCTAACACAAAAGGGTAATTACATCAATTGAATGTATTAGCACAAACATATAAAGCTCCAAAAAATTAAGAACCTTACAGTATCAAAATTTTCTCGCAAAAAATGAAATGTAACAATAAATATCACCAAACTCAAAATCCTCAAAAATAAATATAGATAAGTATTGATCAAAACTTACCTTAACAACAACATAACCCTAAACACCACAATCAGAAAACACCACGAGCAACAAGGCGATCAACCCATCATATCACGACAGAAGGAGTGTGACCACTACACCACGACACACTGTAGCTTTAGCAACAGTAAATACCACCTAAACACTAGTGATGCTCCAAGAGCAACCAATGACGACAAAGACGAATATGAGTTTGACCCACCACCATAACAACAACTGTCGATCACGGAATCACCAACGACAAATACATAAGAGAAGCAAAGACGAACAAGACAAGTGAAGTTCAACGAACCTGACAAGCAAAGAATGAAAAACGAATGAGAGGAAGAAACAATCGAAGAGCATAAAGAACATAACAGAGGAGAGCAAAAGTGAAGCAAAAGTAAAATGCCGAAGAATATCAAACATTTTATACTGGTTATAGTGACTAACCGTTATAGAAAGTGTTCTCCATTATTACATTTTTGCCATCATCCTAGTTTCTATACCAATTCTAGATCTAAATGGTATAAAAAAATCACTTAGCCACTTTCTATATTGGTTCGAGGAAGCCAATTATTTGGTGCAAGTAGGGAAGATCTTCATGGACACCTTTATGAATTCATCATGATTCCTAATACTATACAATATCAAGGTATGCTTAACGATACTATTAGATTGACAATTTTTCCTTTTTTCCTCACAAGGAAGGTGAGTTATTTATTGTTGTCCTTCCATTGGTGCAAAAAAGGGTTGTGATGTCAGTGATTTTCTATCTTTAACGTCCAATACGAGACCGATGTCATATAAGGAGACATTTACTTAACGTCGGCTTATAAAGACCGATGTTACTTGATGTCGAACCCATATAACACGCGACGTCATATGGAGCCTACGTGGGAGTAATTGGTCAATCAATTTCGAGCTTATAGCTTCACCACATAGGAGTACTTGGTCAATCAATTCCTAGAAAAATATTTCATTCCTCATAAAATAAAGCAAAACATTTGTCATCAACACCTTTAATCAAAAGGTTGATGAATCACTAACAAAAGCTTGGAAGAGATTCCAAGATTTATGAATAAGGTGTCTTAATTGACTCATGACATAAACAAAACTTATCTTTGATGTTCTAGATGTAACCAATATAAATTTCAAAATGCTAGATACCACAAAAATTATAAAGAACATTTCTCTTAGTCTAATGGATCTTAAATGTAATATTCCAAATTTTAAATAACTATCTTATTTATTTTATTTTTACTTTAAATACGAGGATTAAAAATCATAGTTTTAACTCCTATGACCAAATTCATATATTTTAAAATATTTTGTTTTCTATCTAGATGATATTGAAACGTCCAAAAACAAATCAAATAAAATGTTAAAAAGTAAAATAAAAATAATAACAATATGAAAGAATAATACCGATTTTAAAATAGGTTTAATCTTTTTGAACATCTCTATTTGTAGAGGTTTGTCTTAAATAGCTCCTCGTATTCTAAATGGTCTCAATTAGGTCCCTTATTGTATAAAATTGAATCAATTTAGACCTTGCCGTTAATTAGACTGAACGACGTTAAAAATTTTGATGCGTGACTTGGTGACATGAGCAAGTTGTTATGACGTGGCATACATTGGTCGCTGAGTTGGCTTTCTTTTAAATAAGTTGGTGGTCGGCCACTCGGCTTGGTGGTCGGTCAATCGGTTTCGTGGGCGGCCACTCGGCCTGATGGTCGGTCACTCGGCCTGGAGGTCGGTCACTCGGCTTGGTGGTCGGTCACTCGGCCTGGTGGTCGGTTTGGCGACCACCAAGCCGAGTGGTCGACCACCAGACCGACCACCAGGCCGAGTGGCCAACCGCTAGGTCGAGTGACCGACCACCAAGCCAAGTGCCCGACCTCCAGACTGAGTGACCGACCACCAGGCCGAGTGAC